CAGTTCCCCATAGATGTTCAAAAACTACCCGAAACCCTAAACCCTAAACCCTAAACCCTAAACTCTGAATACTACACCCGAAACCTTGAACCCCAAAGGGTCTGCCGGGTGCATGGGTTGAAGAGGGAAGGTTGCCGGCCACTCCTGTGAGCTCAAGGGGCTTTAAGGTTTCGGGTTCAGGGTTAGGGTTTAGGGTTTAGGGTTCAGGGTTTAGGGTTTAGGGCATAGGGCTTAGGGTTTAGGGTTTAGGGTTTAGGGTTTGGGGTTCAGCGTTAGGGGTTTATAGTGGCAACCTTGCAGATAGAACGCTCGCGTTGCGCGCACATGCAGTTGGACCATTTGGTGAAATTCAAGTGGCAGACCGGGCTGATATTGTACCAGAGCACCCGAACCTTGCAGTCAGGATATTTTTCGCCAACAGAGATAGACCATGTGGGGCCGTGGTGAATATCAACCCGTTTACCACTCTCGCACCGCAAGTGTCTGAAAAGACCAGAATTCCATCATACAACGCGATACCCGTGTGGAAAAAAAACCGCGCCTTGAGACTAAACCCGCCACTAGACTAGCCTAAACCCTGAACCCTGAATCCTTAACTAAGCCCCAACCCCTAACCGTAAACCCTAAACCCCAAACCCCAAACCCCAAACCCTACACCCTAAACCCTCAACCCTAAACCCTAAACCCTAAACCCTCAACCCTAAACCCTCAACCCTCAACCCTAAACCCGAACCCAGGGCACATGCCACTCCACGAACTCGCACGCGATCGGCTCCAGCACGAACTCGCCGATCTGCCTCTTGGCTGTAAAGTGCTTTGGGTTGAGGAGGGATCGAGGGGTTTAGGGTGTAGGGTTTAGGGTTTAGGGTCTAGGGTTTAGGGTTTAGGGTCTAAGGTTTCTGAGTTTAGGGGGTTCAAGGGCTGCGAGATATGGGGTTTATGGATTAGTGGGGGCCCTTGGATGGGAATGAGCCTCTTCTGCAGAGCCTTGGGGTTTAGAGAGTTTAAGTATGAGGTTTGGGGCTTGGGACCCTAAAAGCAATTGAAACCCAAGCGCTACGTCCAAAACCTCCTGGCTGATGTCGGGCTTCTCAGGCTTTAGGCCGAGCTTCATCAAGTCGTGGTTGCTAGGGCGTTGCAAAGCAAGCCGTGCGAATCAAGATGTGGAAATCGGCATTGCGAAGATCGGGTCACTTCAGTGCCAGGGCATCAATTCCCAACCCTTGTCCGAAACCCTACCATGGACTCTTGGCTTAACTCCTAGGCTCCGCATTGTAGTTTCTACAAAAACCCCAAAAAGGTAAAGTCCTAAGAGCCAACCAGAAGAAAGCCAAGGCCTCCTCTACCTAGAGATGAACCGTTCAGGGTTTAGGGTTTAGGGTTAGGGTTTAGGGTTTAGGGTTTAGGGTTTAGGGTTTAGGGTGCAGGATGAACATGTGCATGCAGTGCCATGAACAGTAAATGGGGACGCCCAGGCGAGCACTCAACACCCCAGGCCCTGCCAATACAGGCCTGTCCTACTATGCAAACCGTAGAAGATTAGGGTTTAGGGTTTAGGGTTTGGGGTTTGGGGTTTAGGGTTGAGGGTTTAGGGTTCCTACAACCGAAGCTATGGCATGTACAGACAACTCATAGAACTGCTTTCTTGATAGCTGGGGTGCTATCTCCACACCCGGTCAACGTAAAACGGTGCACCCCAAACATCCTAAACCCCCAATAGCCGCTGAACTCACAACCAACAAAAGAGGGGACCGGACAAAAACACCGAAATTCCTAAAGCCCTAGAGTCCTAACGCCCGAAACCCTAAAACTCTAAACCCCTAAACCCTAAAACGCCCTTGAGACCCCGAACCCTGCCTCTGGATCGACCGGGGTAGCTCGCCCCAGCAGCCGGGCCGGCGCGCGGACCCCAAGAAGGCCAACATCTCAGCCTCAGGTTGTTAGGGTTAGGGTTTAGGGTTTAGGGTTTAGGGTTTAGGGTTTAGGGTTTTGGGTTTAGGGTTTAGGGCTTAGGGATTGCAATACCGAAGGAGCAAATTAACCCCCAAAACCCCGACAGACCCTAAACAACCCCGCAAAAAAAACCACAGAATCCTAAAACAAAAGTTCTCAAGCCCTAAACTCTGAGGAATTGGGGTCCGAGACCCTGGGCACTCACCCTAAACCCTAAACCCTGAACCCTAAACCCGAAACCCTAAACCCTAACCCTAAACCTTAAACCGTAAACCCTGGCAGCAGGCACCTGAGGGCGACGCCGTGCTGCCCGCCGTGTACTTGCACTCGCGCCTCCACGCTTAACATCGTTGAGGGTTTAGGGTTTAGGGTTTAAGGTGTAGGGTGTAGGGTTTGGGTCTATAGGGTTTAGGGTTTAGGGTTCTTTCGAATACGGTTTCTTGGAGAACGTAGTTCGCACTACTTTTTTGCTGAAGAAATCATGTCTCGAATGCCCAAACCCGGCGACCAGGGCAGGGTGTTCCGGAACGAGAGCATTCTAGTGTGGCTGCTCTCCCCTCAACCCTCGAACCCCCCCACCCCCCAATCACCTTTCTGTTCAAAACACTTTGAAAACCAATTGAAGAGGCACCAACCCACGAAAAAGGCTCGCTTGGGACCCGACTGACCGGTGGCAGCCCCTCCCCCCCAGCCGCGGTCTGAATCCCCTGCCTCTGCTAAACTTGAGATTGAGATGATTTAAGCGCTTCGAAGGGTTGAGCGCTTGTGGTTCGTTTTTTGGGAGTTTTGGAAGTTGCCGGGGTACTAGGGCCTACCGGATTTGGTTGCTTGGGGCGGGCTGGGCTCCAGGGTGTACAGCTTTCAAGCGTTTAGGCTTCTTAGGGGTTTAGGTTGTGTAGGGTGTAGGCGGCGTCTCCCCGACAGATGAAAAATCCTTCGGGGATGCCGCTCAGGTTCAGGTCGCATTCGATACGGGGCTGACAGAATTTATGGGCCCTGTCTGGGCACCATGAGCCGTGAGAGGGCACACAGCAAAACTTTTCTTAAAGCACCCAACCCACAGTGTTGGTGTCCTTGCCTCCCTCCCTCCCCACCTCAACCCCAAACTGGAAATCCACATGCAGCCGGGTCGCAGCATGGCTCCCGCTGCTTCTTTGGCAGTGGGCGCCTCAGTAGCTTGTCGGATGTCAGGGTTTAGGGTTTAGGGGGGGCCTATCAAGGGATTTAGGGTTCAGGGCTTGGGGGGGCCTTGGCTCGGATTTCCTTCCAGTAGTTGGCCAAAACCCCCTTGCCCGACTACTTTGTTTTGTGTAGCCCGAAATTTGAGGTTTAGGGTTTAGGGTGCCTATGTTCTAATTATTTGCAGGTTTTGGGGTTGCAGGCGACAGTCACTAAACGAACTGTGAGCATGGTCCACCCCTAACTACCGTCGGATTCCCGAACCTTCGTTTGCTTGGTAGCCCAGTAACCGGGCGAATCTTGAACCCAACAAAAAGGGAAAAGGGTTCCACTGGGCTGCCAAGTTTGTGTCGGAAATGATTGAAAAAGCACATAGGCCCTCCAACCCCCCCTGCCACAGAGAGGCTTTCTGGCAACGCCGGCAGCCATGCAGCGCAGGAAGCTTGGGGGTCTTTGGGGGATTTGAGGTCCGAGGTTTAGGGTTTAGGGTTTAATTGGGGTTTAGGGTTTCGGGCCAGTTTCGAGGGTAAGGGTGTTGCCGAGGGGGTTGGGACGGGAGCGCAGGGGTTGAGCGTTGAAAGGCCAGCTTTCAGCGGCACAGGTTTTCGAGGAGTCTTAGGGGCAAACTTCGGGTTAGAGTTTCTTGGTGTATGGGATTTGGGATTCTGCATTCAGTCGTCGGTTCACCACCTCGCGAGCCAAGCGGATGAGGGTGAGCGCAGAGAGGAGGGTTTCTACTGTCGACTTGCCTGTCTCCAATGCAGCCTCATTCGCCCCCTGATCCCGCAGCTCCCCTAAACCCTAGGCCCTAAACCCTACACCCTCAACCCTACAGGCCATACGGACTTAGGGCTTTCGAGAATGCTTGACTACTCAAACCTCTAACTGTAACTGCCTGCAGGTTCTAAGGCTGGGGTTTGGGAAACATGTGAACTTGTGAATCTGGCAAGGCGGAACCCTGAAAGCAAGCTCCTCAAGGTTTAGGGTTCAGAAGGTCATCAGGCAGCAGAGAAACAAATTTCTGGATGAGTGGCTTGAAAGCCTGCCTCTACTCTGTTGAGTTGACTATGTTCGGGGCTACGAAGGGCAGATAGAATGCTGTGTACCCTCATCTGGAAGACTGGTGCCAAGATTTGCCTCAAACTGGCGCAGCTGTTCCTGAGCTACGGTGTAGTCTCCCAAAGCCCTGCCTTGAGTTCTGGACGTCGCCTCAGCAGCGTAGTGCAAGGCCTGCCTCTTGAGTGCGTATGCATGAGGAGCCGTGTTCCTCAGGTCTGCCAATGTCTGGTAAGCCTGCGCCAGTAGCATCATGGCTTGCCCGACAGTTCGGTGGGTCAGATTCCACTCGTGCTGCTGCTTCAGATCTGTCTCTAGCTTCTGGATAACATCCTGCACAGCATGGGGGTCTTGCACAGCGGAGTGCAACAATATTGAAGCCCAGGATATGGTACACTTGACACAGTCATCGAACAGCCCGAAACTGTAGTAGCGGTCTGAAGCAGACACGCACTGGTTCAAGCCCATTTTGATAACATACTCGCGACAAGCCCGGGAGTCGTCAAGATGAATGGATCGCCAGCGCTCAGCAGGTGGCAACCCCAAGGTGTTCCCCATTTGCAAGACATCGCAGGCATCTAGCTCCAAGAGGCGGCCCGCCAGTTGGCCCCAGTGCCTCGAAACCTCAGCTTCGATGATCGGATCACTGAAGAGAGCAGACATCTGTTGAGTAGCGGATGACGCAAGCTTCATGGCATCAACGGCTTGAGTAAAAAACTGTCGCAGGTCATCCACAGTGCCCGCGCCCGCAGCCAATCGATTCCAGGCAGCAACAGACCAAGACGCGGACAGCGCAACTATGGCATGTTGGTTCACGAGCGAGGCTGGCTGGTCCCGAGCAGCACAAGCGATTTGTGTGAATGATCGTACGAACCGTTGAAGTGGTGCTCCTCTGTTTGTAAGATTGCAGCCAGGGCTCTGTCGTCATGATGTGTTGATGTCTCATGCACTCGCCGCAAGGCCTCTCTAACCAGATTGAATTGCCCGTTCTTGTGGAAGGTTTGCATCAACTTGAACCCTTGCAGCTGTTTGCCAGACAAACGACTCGGGAGATGGACCTTTGGAACCACAGATGCTGAGGGGCTGCCAGCAGACCTGATGCTTTCATCAGCCTCTGTAGTATTCCATGGTCCTGAGTTGTCGTCCGGCGTGTCAGGTTGAACAATGACAGTCGGGCGGCGCAGGCTGACGTGCGCCTCAATACGATGATGCTGCACCCTGGACTTCAGTCGCTGCACAAGTGTTTCCAAGGCTAGCCCAGGCTCTTGGAGTAAGTTACAGAACTCTTGGGCAAATGTTGACTCATCCAGTGTACACTCCCCTGTCAAGCAAGAAAAGAGGAATGCCCAGTCAGACTTTAAGTTTCTTTTGGCAAAATGTGGCCTGGGACTCGGAGGTGGCGCCATTCCGACGCTGTCGCGCCTCCGGCAACCATGAACCACCACGAAAAGCAAGCTGTTCCGCTCCAAGTCGGCTAGGAGTGCCTGGACGCAAACGTCATTCTCATCATCGTGTTCCCGCGTCCCTGGCTGCAGGTAGTTCCTCCCGTTCCGCTCATAACAATGGCCAGCAAAGTACAGAAACATGCGCACACCGTCAGTGGGGGGTGCAACCAAATGCTCCACAGCTGCTTTCAACACGGCTGCTGACGGCTCCAGCAGCAAGACGTGATCACCATGGTCGTGCTCAGCAACAGCACTATGAAACGCTTGAAAAACTCGCTTGGCATCCTGACAGCTTTGGGGCAGATCCTCGTTGAGGTGGTATCGGCCACAGCCAACAACGAGAGCACGCCAGCTCAGCATTGCAGCTGCTCAGATGGATGGTCTGACTTGACCAGCTTGCCAGACTTTCCCAGCAAAAGCCGTTCCAAAAGTCATTCCCCTTGTCGCATGATAGTGCACCACCTGCTGTTGGGAGAGGATGACTACCAGCTGTTGTCTCGTAAAAGGACGCCGAGCATGCACTCACGCTATACAATTCATTGAAGAAAACCTGCGCGCACTCTTCTAAGACTAGAGACCACCGTTAAACCCCCAATCGAACACGATCTTTTTTGGCGAGTCATACGCTAAACTAAACCTTGAACCCTAAACCATAAATTAAATAACTGGACATGCTCGTCAGCTCTAGGCCTCTAAGCCTTTACCTGCAAGCCCTCAACCCACCACTCTAGACCATCCTGAAGTCGGTTAGCTCAAAATTCAGAACATCCTGAGTGACATCCTCCTTCCAGACTTGCAGAGCTTCACATCTGACGACTACAGCAGCCCTGGCCCTGCTCATTCCCAATAATTCCCAACCCTAACACCCAAAACCCCAAGAGAGGTAGTTCCCGACAAAGAGTGTGTAGAAGTTTGGGAGTCAACTAACTTTCGGTCCTCACGGACTCCGACATTTGTTGTGGCGGGCTGCGGGAGTGCAAATGTGGGAGCTACCATAAGTCCTTCTTGGAGGTCCTTACATGCCCAAAGGGTGATCAAGCGGAGGCGGAAGAGATGGCGGGGTGGCGAACGCCCGGAGCGCACCCAAGGCCGTCCACTCACTCATTTACTCACTCACTCACTCAAACAAGGATTTTAGGTAACGGAGGCGCATCGAACCTACCCGAAGGATTACATCATGTACAGTAGAGTAGCCATTGAATCCTCAAGAAATTCGGGCGCACCCCTTCACCTCCAGCAACCCCAGCCGGCGAATTGAACCCTAAACCCTGAACCGTAAACCCTACCCTACACCCTTAAAAAACAAAGGCCCCAGCAAGGCCTGGAATGAGACTTTGCCAGGCCAAGGAGGTCGCCTGGTCCAAGGCTGGCGGTCTTTTGAATTTCGGAGCTTTCTCGTAACCCTATAAACCCTACACCCTAAACCTAGCCTAAGCTCTCTAAGCCTAAACCCCCCAAACCCAAAACCCTAAACCCTGAACCCTTAAGGCTGAAGGTGTACGGTTTAGGGTATAGGGTTCAAGAGTTTGGGGCACCTCAAGGCTTAGGGTTTGCGCGGGTTTTCACGACAGGGTCCTCGGATGTCGACCTAAGGGAAATGTCCAACATTGGTTTACCCTAAACCCAAATCTAAACCCTAAATCAGCAAATGCTGGCCTGTCTAGTTGTGAGTTGCATAAAGAACCTGCGGCCAACGCAGTATCGGTTGGGCCCATACCAAAAGTCAAGATCTACCCACCATGTTGTCAATCTATAAAGCACCATCTTCGAAAGAACACGCGCTTGGTTTGGAGCTTCCCATGTGCCCGGCTAATGTTTCACAAGGTATCGCAAGGAAAAACTTGCGCGACAACTGCGGGACTGACGCGAGAATGTGTTGCGGAGCCTGTCCCCGGCCACAATCTAAGCCTTGGGGACTGCATGAGTCTGGCCCATATACCTTGATACGGAGTGTGGCAATATATGTGGGCCATTGAACGGCTCAATCGCTTCCCCAAGGCATATGTATTCATGTTATGACAGACGTCCTACTCAAGCCCTGATACCAGGCGCCAGTAGCACCAAATCCAAAAACACGCAGGGCAGCAACAAACATGATGCCAAACTCATGAGGCCACGGCAGCGTCTGCCAAGACTCTCTGCTGCAGCGTTCCCCCATGTTTCGGCGTCGTCCAGATCATGCTGAGCACTCTCTTTATTTTTCGGCTATGGCAAAACGGTGAAAAGCCAACAACTGGGCGATGAACAAATAGACGTCAGACAAGGCACGTTTCTCGAAAGTGGGCATTCGGGGTTGACTGGGTTGGGGGATGGGGGGGGAGGGGGGTGGGAGGGGGTATGCGCCATCTGCATTATGGCAATATGGCTATACCCTACATACTGAGCTTTAGACTCTAGACCCAACCAAGATTGGGCTCACCGTGCAGCTGTGCTGCTTGAGCAAAACTGAAACGATACGCAGAGACATGCTGTCATCAAGTACCATGCTCCATTCGTGGCAGTGCTTTCTGCGGCACCATGCATACCGTGCGAGTCATTTGACTTGAACGGTATCAACCAATGATGGTGAAGGAACAAGTTGCATAGATCAGTCAAGTGCTGCAAATCCCAGCATTCACACTGAATAAGACCCCTTCGCCTATGTCCAGCATAGAGCACTGTCTTCGCAGCTAGGATAAGGTGTTGGGCTAGAGATCGTGATCATGCGGTTCTTGCTTGGATTTCTTTCTCTTGGGGGTCCACCCACACCCACAGCCCAGAAAAACTTCGCACAAAAAAACCCCAAAATCAGGAAACCTTAAAGTCTACTCGATGACGCCTTACGGTTTTTCTCCTTAGGAATATTATAAATCCTAAACCCTCAAAGGCCAAGCCAAACCCCCCATACCCCTTCAAATCCCCCACAGCATTCACCTGGAAGGAGAGGTGGCTGACGTTGCAATGGCCTCAAGTCGAGCATATACTTTGTTATATATCGTACAGAATACAAAACATCGTCTGGTCAAATATCAATTGTGTATAGATAGATAATCTAGCATAGTATAGCGCTAGTTTGTAGAAGAAAGGAATGTGACGCACAATATCACTCTATAAGGTAATGCATTGAAGTAAATCTGCGGGTCTGTTGGAAGGATCCAGAGGCTGCAGGCTTAGAGCTCTTGGGATTTCAGGTTCAATGCCAAACCCCAAGCCCTAAAACCTCAACCCTCTGCCCTAAGCCCGACATTTACAGTTTGGCGTCAAAACCGAAAACCCTAAACCCTAAGCCCTAAACTCCAAACCCTAAACCCAACCCTCTGCCCTAAGCCCGAAATCCCTGAGGGTTTACAGTTTGGCGTCAGGGCCGAAGCAGCATGGAGGTCTTAGTCTGAGTCTTGGAGAACCAAGAACACGGGTTGAAGGCTTTAGGGGCGCAGGCCCCTAAAGCTTAAACCCTAAACCCTAAACCCTAAACCCCAAACCCTAAACCCTACACCTTCCGAGGTCCCCCACTGGCAGTGGCACCTCGCTGCAGCCACAGCACCAAGAGGCCAAAGGCATCTTTAGCTTGTGCCTTGCTGCGGTTCAGGTATAGGGAAGAGGGTTCGGGGTTTATAGGGGTTTAGGGCTTACATGGGTTTAGGCTTAGGGCTCAGGGAGTTTAGGGTGCATAGGGAGTCCAGGGTTTAGAGTTCGGGGCTGGAGTTTTGGTTCAGACCACGAAAGCCACCAAACTCTGTACGTAAGTATAAACGGAAAATGTAAATGTTTACATGCTGATGTCCATGCACCCTTGGCTGAGTATAGTATACGGTTGAGTGAAATGGGTACTTTGGGTCCTCGGGAAGGTGGTCCGAAGGAAGCCCTACACACAAAGTATGGTGTGGTACCACGTGGTTGCCTTGGAATCTGCTTGCCGAAGATTTGTCTGGATAAGTCGAGCACGGGATTCGGCTTCACTCGGCCGTAAGTGCACTCACTAGCTGTCCGCATGAAAGCTCCAACCAGGTCAACGGACTGGGTGACTATGACGACCTCTGTGCAGCAAGCGATCCTCGGGCATCTGCCTATGTACAACTTGGCGCTGCCCAGGCCTTCCATGGTGGCTTGAATTGCCACGCGATTGCTGGTACAGTGCTTGTACCAAAATTGGTACGCGTGAGCCTTGTGCAACTCTCGACGAGCTAAGTCGAGCACCCTGCCTAAACTCTGGAAGGTGTGTGTTGGTGATTCCAAGCCATGGCCCTTTGAGCCCCCTAGTACGCCATCTATCCTGACCCCTAGTCTCCATGCAAGTAACGAGTACATACTTGGGCAGTAAACGTAGCTACTAAATGTGGGAACGGGAATCCAGGGAAATATGACTCTTGATTAATTATCGTGGATTCACCCGAAATCCCAAGTGATTTTCTCTTTTAAAGCCTCAACCCTGCTGCAAAAAATCCTCAACCCTCAATCCTAAACCCTGCACCCCAAGTGCACCCGCGAGGTTCTGCCTCCTCTGTTGGAGTGGTTCTAAACCCTAAACCCTAAACCCTAAACCCCAAACCGGGTTGCCTCCGGGTGCATGATCCAGAACCACTGGAGCGGTTCGCCGGAGAGATCACGCGCCTCAGAGGGCGCGGGGATCGGGGACCCTTGGGGTCGAAATAGCGACCGCAAGGCTGCTCAAGAATTCTACGAGAGGTTAGTGCGTTCAGGGTGTTTCGGGTTTAGCGTCGTAGGCCACCATGACAAAAGGGCGAGTGGTGAGGTGAACAATTTCTGGGTTGCTGGTGGGTTTTGTGTAGGGCTTATCGGGCTGTTGTAAGGCTTATGGGGCTTATAGAAAAACTGTACATAGGGCTGAAAAAGACAACGGGCCAGGAATGCCAGGTGGCAAGCGCCAGAACCCTCTCAGTGCCACGAACGTGTTCTGTTGCAGTAGAGAGGTGGTGGTATGAGGGGGGGGGGGGGACCCTAAACCCCTAAACCCTAGGGAGGGCGGGTAGTCTGAGGGCAGGAACATGCCTAAACCCGAAACCCGAAACCCGAAACCCGAAACCGAAACCCGAAACCCGAAACCCTAAACCCTAAACCCTAAACCCTAAACCCTAAACCCTAAACCCTAAACCCTAAACCCTAAACCCTAAACCCTAAACCCTAAACCCTAAACCCTAAACCAAACTTGGCCGCTCCAAGCTCCAGGCCTTTTTCGCTTCCTTCTCCACGTGCTGCCAGCTGCAATCCTTGTTAGTGTGCTTAGGTTTAGGGTTTAGGGTTTAGGGTTTAGGGTTTAGGGTTTAGGGTTTAGGGTTTAGGGTTTAGGGTTTAGGGTTTAGGGTTTAGGGTTTAGGGTTTAGGGTTTAGGGTTTAGGGTTTAGGGTTTAGGGTGTAGGGTT